TCAATATGAAAACCCACCATAATCATGAAATGTGTTATAAATCTATTTATGCAATAGTTAATATATTGACAATAAGATAATTTCTAGCTAGTACAAGTCATGTTTTCTTAGATTGAATTCCATTTTTTGCATCATACTTTCAAATTCCATGTATTTTACATATTAATTTTTGTATTAGATTAGTTAATATGATATAGTTGTTGTAATTTGGTATTTTGGTGGAAAACATGTCGTAAAAGTAATGGCATGCAAACTATTAATGTAATGAATGGAAATATCTTGGTATATGATGTAAAAATAATCAAATATAATTGACTGGTATAAAAAAGAAGAACATATATATGTAGTTGGTGTTGGTAAAGTTGCATTATAGGTTTAGAAAATAGGAGGCTACCAATAATTTATCCAGTGAGAATATTATGTAGAAATGATGAGAAAAAAATTTCAATCTCTATCGAAGTAGAGCCCAAAATCCACAATATGACAAATTTTTGTGGCATAAAGAATTGAGAACGACCCATGTTATGGAGGGAATCCTTTTTCCTATCTATCCTTTTTAATTTTCACAATAAAATTTTAAGTAGTTATAAATAATAAGTATATATTATTAACCATTAATTGGTTTTGGTTTTGGATGTTCATTTTATTTATTTTTTATTCTATACTTAAGTACAAGGAGAGAAAGTTCGACAAATAACAAAAATTTATATCCAATTTTTAATCATGTGAAACCATTTACTTTCTTAAAAAGTTTTAAAATGTATTATATATGAATATTTCGAAAGGGGGAACGAATATTGTAAAGTCTATAACTTTCTTGGCAAATAGGAAAGAAAGAAAAATGTAATATTTAGTGTAATTTTTTTGAATGCTTTAACAAAAAAATATTTGATAAAATGAGAAGAGAAAAGAGTGAACTTTTGCATTGGGTTCCATTTTTTATCATAGAGTCGGCCTTTTTGTGGCTGCTTGTGGGCCTTTCTCAGTTCACCGACCTTTTTTACTTCCATTGCATCTATATATGTAACGTTTTATTTAAATCAATATAATTAAAAACACTAGATTTCATACTTAAGCCATTGAGATACAACAGTGATCGATGATATGCCATTCACAACATCCCAAAAAAGTGATTACGCTATTTTAACTATTCACAATATTGATGAAATGTTTATGAAAAGTGATTCGATATATGTATATGAAGCATATATAGCTAAAAGAAGTGAAAATGATATTAATTTACAGAAACTAGATCTTTCGTATTTTGTTATCATTCAAAAGAAAACGAAATTCAGCTAAATTATTAGATATTCTATTATTCCGATATTCCATAATTCTATTGTTCATATATATGTAAGATACGGATCATTTTAAGCAAAGATCACCAATAGTTCACTTAATTATGTCATTCTTCAACAAAGATTATCTTCTTTTATATCATATTTCAAAAAGTTGGTTGATAAATATGATCTATGTCCAATAAAAAGAACACGAGCAGTGACTTTACGGTTTCAATATCGTTACTGTGGAACGAGTCCAACGTTATGGCGGAAGGGTCTTTGGACTGTGATCAAGAAAGAGACATTAATCGTTGGTTCAATAAATAGCTAATGTGAAATTGATGGAAATGCATGCAGAGTAAATAATGGTACTGTATCAATCAATACTATATACTTACTAAATATATTTTTTTAAAATTTATAGTATACTAAATAATACATCCATACACACAAGATTGAGAAAGAAAAATACACATAACGTATTTGTACGCGTGCTTAATACATGTAGGACGACAAGTTTTTCCGATGTCTCACGTGGCATGCTTACATCATCATTCCACCTTAATTATAATATTAGTTCCTTTTCTTGACCTCTACAAATTATGTATCGACCATTTTCAAGTAGCAGACAAAATAGAGTGGAATATCGAATTAAACCTTAAACTAGTTGAATTAAACACAAACTTGGAACTAAATTGGCTATAAATATCTTTCATAAACCTATTTTTTACTAAAGATATTTTAAATAATGTAGCAATATGTAGGAAAATACTATTTTCTTTCTATTATATTTTAAATAATTATTGCAGTATATGTTCTACAACAATATTTATAGTTTTATATTTTACTTTATTTCTACAATAATTATTATAGTCTTAGAGAAGATAATTTTTGATACTGAAATTTTACAGATAAAAAAGAGGAGGAATAATTTGTCCCAAAAAAAAAGAAATAACTAATATTGAAAAATAGACACTAAGAAGTAAGTAAATACTCCCTTCGTTTCATAATATAAGGCGTTTTTGAAAAAAAAAAATTTGTTTCACAATATAAATCGTTTTCGAGTTTCGATGAAAATTATATATTATTTTAATATTTTATGATTATTTATATTATACAGTTTTTTGTATGATTGGTTGAACTTTTTAAAAGTAGATATTTTTAATCGGCGTATTTTTATATAAAACTACTTATATTATGAAACGGATGAAGTATGATTAATTTAAACTGTGATTTGTCAGAGTTCTTCGCTGTCTTAGAGCAAGCCCAATGGGGGGTTTTTAGAGTTTCTTAGGGTTAGAATCCTTAAGAAAGTGGCCCAATTTAAATCAAAAATAAGAAATAAACTTAGGAACGAACCTTAATTAAGGTTTTTTTTTGGTTTTAAGAGTCCATACGTGTCAATTTCTCATTGGTGTGTGTTTAATGAGAAAACAAGAAAATTTCTTCAACCTCTTCATTTCGCGATTCAGATTTCTCTCTATTTTTCTTGTAAACTCCGATGGCGATCTTCCATGGAGACACTCGATTTTCATCAGGCGTCTCAAGCATCAAATCGTCAAAGAAATTGGTCTCTTCCCCTCTGTGATCTCTTCCCCTCTGTGATCTGCTTGATTTGTTACCGCCGGAGAGGTATCATAGTCTCTCGAAGAAGGATATTTTCGCTGTGCTTTCTCGTCCAATTCCCTTTGATGATGATAATAAGGTATTTGTTTGGGGAATTTCGAGAGATTGATTTTGATTTTGATGTATTGGATTTGGGAATTAGGGTTTTGATTTGGTTTGGATGAATTTTCTATGCAGACAGTTTCAGATTGAACTCTGTGTGTTTTTTTTTTCCAGGAACTATGGATTGATAGAGTTACAGGACGAGTTTGTATGGCAATTTCTGCGAGAGGAATGGCTATTACTGGAATTGAAGACCGGAGATATTGGAACTGGATCCCGACGGAAGAATCTAGGTACTATAGAACAAACGCTTCTTGATTTGAATCTCAAATTGAATTTTAGAAAGATCAACAAGTGTGTGTCAAGAATCTTGTTTGTGGTAATGTCATTTGACTTGAATTTCATGAGCTGTTGATACTTTGTTTCTTAGGTCTTGCTTGAATAATGATCTCTTAAGTATATAAAAAAAAAATTGGAGAAGTTTGTGTGAAGGTTACTCTTTGATTAATGGCCTGATTTCTCTTTGTGATTCTGCTTTTGAGTTTTGATGAGTAGCTAATATAGATAATTAGTGTTCTTACCTAATCTTTATGATTATGGATTTGAGGTGTTATTGTAGTGATGATTCTTCCTCGACAGTGATATATTTCTGTTGCATCTCTTCGATTGATTGCTCTCTGTGATTAGATTAGGTTAGATATGATCATTATCATAGTTATCGCCAAGAGTGGCGTCAATACGAGCCATCAAGCATCACTCCCTCGTTGAGAGTAGGTTAAAGTG